CCGCCTGGGTGAAAACCAGGAATCCTAACCGCTAGACCATATGGGAGGAAACTGTCCAAATGCTAGCACAACTGACTGATAGAGATAACAGCTCAATAAAGGCAATTACGTTTCTCAAGTCTTGAATTTCTTGTACCAATTACTATCCAATTTAAAAAAATATTGGTAGCTTAGCTTTGGTTAGCATCCCTAATGCACTAAGCTATATTTTTTTTATCTTCTCACCCATTCCTCAGGAATAAAATCACTAACCTTGAAAACCTCATTAAGCATTTTCTGGTCTTGTTTCTTTCTTGCACTTAGACAGTGGTGGTAGACTTTTTAACTTTTTGTACTTAAGGCTCAAATATACAAAAGCTTTGTGCTCTGTAAAGGATGGGCATGAATCAGCCAGGTCTTCTTAAAGACATTCTGCAGCAGCTCACCATGTATCTAGATGTGTCTGTCTTCTTTTTCTCCCCTCGGGAGCATTTGCAGTATGTCTGGGTTCATCATGACAAACCCTTGTAAGGGAGGTACACTTCTTCAGCGTTTGAGCTCACCTTTGTGGGAACCCTTTGGCTCCAATTTGCTGGAGCAACTCCAGCAGATATAAGAAGGAACATCTCCACCTGAAACCCCCAAATCCAATTGCTTACTAAAAATAGAATAAGGCAACAGGTGACTTTTGAATAAGCTATGATAACTATGGTAGGTTTACCCAACAGCACACTGATTCAGTGTGATGTAAACTCAATGTATCTATTTATTTATTTAGAAAATTTATTTAGAAAAACATGGCGACTCAAGGCACCTTACAGGGATGCAAAAACAGCACATAAAAGAAATAAAAATTAAATCCACCCACCCCCACCATGTTGTCACCGGGTGTTATTTGATTTGAGGCAATTTCCAATATTCCTCTGTCAATCTCAGTAACTTTAAAAGAGTGGTTTAGGGACTGGATTTCAAAATCACCACAACTTTGTCATTAGAAGAAATTAAAATATCAGTAATCACAATAGGCAGAGGAGAAATTTTTATTAAAATAAAAACCATAGTTTCACTGTTGAACTTTTTCTTAAAAGAGATACACATCCAAGTCAGACAATATAGGGGCCTATTTCTTTGGGGTTTCCACTTTTTTCCTTCAAGATATTTTAAAAAGCCCCTACAACAGTCATCATAATTGAAACTTGTGTCTCATGTAAATCAGTTTTTGGTTTGATAGACAGAAAATATTTGCTTATGATGAAAGCATATAAGACATATGAAAATCAAACTACAAATCAAAGACATTTGTTTCAATACTTTAAGAGACATATTGCCTCAGACAAATAAGAAAAAAGGGCAAAATGAAGAATATATACACAAGCTAGATTTTCCAGCTATGCTTTATTTTAAAATACATACATCCATTTTTAGCTTTGTGCAAACAATCTTTTTAAAGTGCATCTGTAACTTACAAAGCCATTAATAATTATAATTACCTTTTACATAGAAATTTAAAAACAGTTCAGGACAAATATGGAGATTTCCAAAACTACTCCAGTAAATATAAGCCAAAGTTTATAGCTTTTATTGTATCAGCAGAGATGATCATTATTGATCAAGGAGAGTACTGCTTCTTTCCAGCTACCAGTTTTTGTTTTTTTTCCAGCAGTGACTGGTAATAACTTCTAGTGGCCTCAATTTCACTTTGTATTGAGGCAATTTCTGCAGCCAGGTGGATCCCTGAAACAGCACAAGACAAAAAAGGGGTTATCAGCAGGCAAATCTAAATAGTATTTTTAAAAAGAAAAACTCTACACTGTCCCCTAAATAGGATTGTTTCCAGATATGATAGAATGCCCAACTTCCATTTTGCCAAGCTATAACTAGGAATTCCAGCAGCTGGAATCTTCTTTTATCCATGTGGCATTTGGGTTGGAAAAACTGTTTTATGAATGGTGAAGATCTCTAAAAAGCTCATGGACTTTGGGCCAGTCACTCCCTCTCAGCCCAACCCATCTGACATGGTTGCTGTTGTGGGGAAAATCAGAAGGAGGAGCATTAGTTATGCTCACCGTCTTGCATTGTTTATAAAAATAAAAGATGGGATATAGAATAAATTAATAATAAATACATAAATTACAGATCAGAAGCAACACCCTTATTGCTTGTAGGAAGTGCCACAATAGGTTTGAATTGAATACCAGAAATTTAGTCTAATTCCTCAGATAGTGACTACCATAATATGAACAGAATTTAGCCACTGAGCAACTCCTCCAATTGATGTTCTGCTACCCAAGTAGCAGCTTTCACAAAAGAAAGCAACAGCTAAATGATAGTAATTTTCTTAGATCTTTAGACAAGGAATCAGAAGGGGACAGAAGTGCAGATGGCATTCATTGCGATTATCCCAGCTGCCATTTGCCTCACCTTCTCGGAAAGTCTTCTGAGCTTGTCGGAGGCTTTGTGGCACAAGGATGCCAAACCAGTTCAGGGGATCTTGGTGGCCTAAGGTCTCTGCAGGCTTGGATGCTGCATTCTGGGGTTGGGCCACATCCTCTGCTTTTCCTGGACCTTTTCGTCGTCGTACAACTAGAAGCAATCAAACAGTACCTTCAATCAAGGGAGCAGGGAAATGGATGTTGTTGAACTACAATTCTCAGGATGCCTATTGTAGGTTGTTTTAGAAAGCACAGTTGGACAGTTCTCATCCCTATCTTTGAAGAGTGATTGAGGCTGATTTCTGGTATTTCCAGAAATGCATTCTAAGTGTTCATATTATTGGGGACAAAGAATTTCTGATTGACTGTTTCCTAGTATGATTTGATTGCTGACTGTACCCTATGACTATCGTTAAGTGTTGTATGTTATGATTCTTGATTCTTAACGAATATATCTTTTCTTTTATGTATAGAGAGTATTTACACCAAGACAAATTCCTTGTGTGTCCAATCACACTTGGCCAATAAAGTATTCTACTCTATTCTATTCTGATTTGTGTTTCTACTGTACAGTGTTTATTTCACCAAATTGTTACATCTTTGGTTTTTAGTATTAATATAGTAACCAATAGTCATTTTAAGAGCCAGGGAAAGATTCAGACAGACCTTGGGAAATGATTGCAGTTTCTTATGAATTCTGATCAAGTGGGTTCAAAAATCTTATGGGTTTTGTTCCTTTACCTTGTTCACTGGGGCCAATCTCTTCCACAAAAGCTGGGCTTTTGAAAGCATCTTCTGTGGTCACCTGAAATTGAATCTGCCCATCTTCTGCCTTGCTAGATGGAACAAATAGAGAGTCATATACAAGACTGAGCATTTAGCTTGAAACCGACTCACTTCCAAGGCACAGGCAATAAGGATCATATTATTTGGGGCTCACTGAGATAGAGATCATTTCAGTTTTAGCTCTCTCTTTCTCTATAGGTGTACAATATAATTGCCCCTATCAACGTTATTCCAGAACAACACTGTGATGTAGATCAGGTTATGAGGGAACTATTGGGTCAAGATTTTCCAAAGAGTTTTCCACATGGAATGGGGATTTGAATCTCTTTCTCCAGTCCTCATCCCAAAATCAAAGAAATAAAACAATCTTCCGGTACTGATTTTATCAACAAAACAATCCAAAATGATCCATAGTAAAACTTATCTCACTTGTCTAAAACCTTAGCTCTCATAATTAAAGTTTGATTGAATGAAGCCAAGTGAAACAGTCCCTTCTTACAAAGGGAGTTGGATTAACAATTCCTGGAATTATTAGGATGACCTGATGTTTTGGAAAAGCTATTATGGAATGGAGCAAACTTCTCCAATCTGATGCATCTAGCTATTTAATTCCTACCATTCCCATGCTGGATGGCAATGGAAATAATAGCACTAAATATCTGAAATAATAGTTTAAATATTTGCAGGGAGGTTCCAATAAAAATAACACAAAATAGATGCCATCTATTTTTAGAAAAATTCAAAAGGCAAGAGGAAAAGCACCTAGTTATTCTTTTTCCTTTTCATTGAAAGTCATTATACTGGCTAGCTACTTACTATTAGCCCCTGGATTAAGAACATTTGATTTATAAACACCTTATAGTTGTGAATGGGCTGGCTATTATTAAAATGACGGACGGCATTCTCCTTCCTTGAGATGCTAAACCACTGAAGCCATACAATGTTTTCATGAACTGTTGAAGTCATGTGTATTTTTAATATTGGATAATGAGATAGCCAGAATATAAATTTAATAATAAATAATATAGAGCCTGTTTTCAGCAGTTCATGAAAATATTGTGTGGTTTCAGTGGTTCATAGGCTTGAGGAAGGAAAATTTTGTCTACCATTTGTACTAATGGGCAGTCTCTTCATAAGTCCAAGTTCTGACTTAGATAGAAATTTGAGATAAAGATAGACAGAGGATTGGAACTCATTCTTAACTTGACTGAGTTTATACAACACATTGAGCCATAAATCATAATTCATTAAGCACAATGTTTGTGTCTGTATAACTAAACCAAAAGCAAGGCAACCAAATTTTGGTTTAGCACAATGTATGATTGCAGTTTCTGCCTTTATTCCCCACCATAGAAGTTCCCTCCTTGCCAAAATCCAGTAATTTTCCCACTCACCTAGTTTCTATCTGAATAGATGGTGTCATCTGGTGTCCATATTGCAGGGTAGATACAGATTTGTTACCCATGGCATAGCGAGATTTGGAGAGTGAGAACCAACCCTGGAAAGGCAAAATCAAAAACACAACTTACAGCAATCTTTCTGACCAGATAACTTTAATGTGAACAGTTACAACTGCCAGAATCCTTAGTCATCTTGAAAAGGGAATGAACTGATACTGGATTTTCGGACATTGGGAAGTCTATGACACATTTCCCAAAAAGGAATCAACAGCTCTGCTCAACTGCAGCAAGAGCTGGGGAAAGGGAAAATGACTCCATCATTTGGCAGCATGCCCTTGGCCTTTACCAAGGTCTTATGTGCCATGTTCTCACCTGCTCCACCATGCCATTGAAAGCTTCTCTCTTGGTCTGGAGCATTTCAAGAGCATCAAAAAGGTGAAGGATAACACGGTCCAATTCCTCGCATATTTCAATTTGTTCAACGTCCTCTGCGGGAGCCATCTGAATGGAAAATTGTGCAATTGATCCTATTCGACCTTGTGTCACACAGGTTTCAAGAGTTTCTGTTATAATAGATAAACATCCATGTTGATGTAAATTGTTATATTATATATTTAATTTGTGCACTACTTTTCCATCAAAGTGTTGAAAACCACAACAGGAAAAAAATGAGTAAGATCACAAATTAAGCAATTAAATCCATTTGCAACCTATTCAACCATTAGTTCGAGCCAGATTTAGATGCATACAACTTGCAGAAGCAGATTCCTTGCCTTTTGTCCTAACAGCAGTATTTTTTTCAATATATTTTAAAGAAGATGGACAAACCCACTGAATGGGATACGCTCCAGTGGAGAATGAAGGACCTCTGAAAACAAGGCAAAGTGAGCAATGCTGACAGGATTTTTTTAAAGGATCCCACTATCTTTTCAGGCTCTCTACCTCATTTACCTTACAACTGTTTGTGCACTATTTAGAAAGCATGTAGTACTACAAGAGCAAGGAAAGGTGAGAAAAGCTTGTTTCTTTCCATCCAGATAATCAATATTTGGATCTGTGTCCATATTTACAAAACACCCTCAGATAAAAACCTGTCTGAATCAATACAACTTCTGCTGATGGAAAGGAATAAAGGAAGACTCAAAATAAGCTTCCTTTGGCAAACAAACTTACAGTAGGAGCAATCCCAGTCAGGTATTGTGGTGACAATACCAGCCAAAAGCCCACTGGAATCAGGAAGACTTACTTCTGAGTAGACATATCCAGAATTGCTCTACTTCATTAGACTCAATATCACCTCTCCTTCACCTTTCTCTTCCCTTTTAAAACATGTAAACTGCATATTCAATACTTTATTTTTCCAACCTTCCTCCAGAGTTCAAAGTGAGTAAGGTATTTGAGGACTGATCCATGAGTCTATTCACTACACCTGTCATTTCAAGGCCAGACATTACATGAGCGTGTTGCATTACTGTAAAGCTAATGGTGACTTTGTGTTGATATTAGAGAATCAATAGCAGTATTCCAGTATTTGAAGGGCTGCCACAAGGAAGAGTGGGTCATCTTATTCTCCAAAGCATCAGAGGGCAGGACAAGAAACAATAGTTGGAAACTAAGCAAAGAGAGAAACCTGGAATTAAGGAGAAACTTCCTCACAATGAGGACTATTAGCCAGTGGAACAGCTTGCCTTCAGAAATAGTGGGTGCTCCACCACTGGAGGTTTTTAAGAAGAGTCTAGGGTCAGTCAATTATCTGAAATAGTATAGTTTTCCTGCTTGAGCAGGGGGCTGGACTAGAAGACCTCCAAGGTCTCTTCCAGCTCATTCTACTCTAATTCTAATTTATGACGCCACAACAAAAGAATCCTGAGACGCCACAAGCCCCTCATTCTTTCTACCTGCAACTGTGATCGGTAATCGAAAGAATGATACCTTCGTCAGCAAATATATCCGCGTAACTTCATAGGTCTTCTTCTAGCCAAGACGCTCAACCTTCCTGCCCTGAATTCTAACTACTGTACCCGACCCGTTTTTCGCAATTGACTTCCTGTACCTCTGCCTTTGAAACATGACTCCACCTTCTCTTCTTCCACGGCCAATGAGATCAGAAATGTTCATCTTTGACCAGCCGGCTGCAAACCGAGATAGAAAAGCGACAATAGAAGCTTCGGATCATAAGCATATGCCGCTTCCGGTTGTGAAGTTTCCACCCCCCCCTTTTATCTCTAGAGTGGCGTTTTTCAATCTCAGCAGTGATGTGGGGGCTTCAACTCCCAGAGTTCTCCAACCAGCTCGCTGAAGTCCACATAAGTTGAAGTTGCTGGGGTGGAGAAACATTGTTCTAGAGCAGGGGTGCCCAAACTTGGCAACTTTAAGACTTGTGGACTTCAACTCCCAGAATTCCTCAGCCAGCTGGCTGAGGAATTCTGGGAGTTGAAGTCCACAAGTCTTAAAGTTGCCAAATTTGGAGACCTCTGTTCTAGAGGCTTAAACGGGGATCATGTTTATTAAGGGGGTTTTGTGTATGTGTGTGTGGTGTGCGGGCTTATGTGTATGCAGCGCGCTCTGATATTTCGGGCAAGTGCGGTGATGGGATCTCTTTTGTATCGATAAAGCTGGCCAAATAGATATCCCCCCCCCCCCCACCCACACACAAAAGGCCGGGGGATATATGGTATCAAATAGGGGTTGAAAAATATCCAGTGGATCGAAATATTTTGTGCAGGCAGTCTCGCGATGGTATGAATGCTGGCAACTCAGTTCCAGTTTCTCTCCAGGAAGCCCACAAGAGCATTTTCATTTGTCCTTCAGATTAGAATCTATGGGGGAAGAAGTGTGGAAAAATATACGAAATATGAAACGGGATCCACTAGATCTTTCTTCCACATTTATGCTTTTTTCGCCTACTGTTGGAAGGGAATCGGATTTGGAGAGGCACAGAAAGAAGGCAGAGGGGAGAAAAAAACAACCCTAGACCTCAGTATTTCAAGATTCCATTAAAAAATAAAATCTCAACAATGTTACCCGGTACTCAACAGCCTGTAAAGCTATAAAGGCACTATGAAGCGGTATATAAGGGCTATTGCTATTCGTAAGCACCATTAGACTTTGCACCACATCATGTGCGCGCGCATTTTAGCGACGTCGCCATGGAGGCTTCGGGCACGCGTTCTCATTACGTCACCTTCCTTTGTTCTGCCATGTTTGGTGTGGGCCTGAGGCTTCTCTTTGGCTTTTTCATTCTCATCTGTTATAGGCCGTTTCTCCTGACCAATGAGAACCGACCTCAAGGGCGGAAGTGATTGAAAGAAAGTGAATCGTAACGTGGTCGAGTCTGGGATGTTCTAATTTAGGGAGATCATGGTAAGAACTGAATTTTGTGCATCAAGCAGTATTTTCCTTTTGGAAAAATGAGCAATAATTGTTTTTGCTTTCTGGCTAAGAGAATGGAGACAGAGTTTCCAGATAGCTCAGTTTAGATTTTGTCCAGCGATTCGAATCAATGAAGCCTCGGCATAGTAGACATTCTAATCTAGACTAATTCGGGGCAAAGAGCATAGATTTTGCGTATACTTTTAGAAGTTACCTATACTTTGATCAGGCTTCTCGGCCTGTTGTTTTCTAGGTACATTGAATTACAGTAGTTGGCAGTGTTGGTTACATATTTTTAAAAAAATTAGCCCATAATTCTTCAAATGTTTACTTAGCAATCCAACTAAGTTTGATAGGACTTATTCTGAATGCATGTAACTCAAAAGTTAAAAATTTCTGGATTTTTAACAAATGTTTCAGGACAGATCCATTTTCTCCCATCACTAGGTATATTGAAGTCAGAAGGAAAACAACAATAAAAAAGATCTTAATGAATCTAATTGGTGCATTTCTACTTTTTTAGTTACGTCGGGAGGCTCGTCAGAGGCGGGAGTATCTTTACCGCAAAGCTCAAGAAGAAAAACTCCGGACTCTCCAAGAAAAGAAAGAAAAAATTAAAAAGGCGTTGGATGGTACACATTAATGACTTGGAATTGCAATATATAACAATAGGATTGCATTTTGTGAGAATGTGAAACGCTGAGAGTTTATGCCCCGAAGACAAATTCCTTGTGTGTCCAATCACACTTGGCCAATAAAGAATTCTATTCTATCCTATCCTATCCTATCCTATCCTATCCTATCCTATCCTATCCTATCCTATCCTATCCTATTCTATTTTTCTTGAGGGACACTTGGCCTTTAAGTAAGCCCTACTAAATGGATCCTATATCTAAGAAAGCATGTATAGTTTGTCGTATAACTGAACACGTGCTTTTTTATTTGCTTATTACAATTGTTCCCCATGTTTCCTTTCATTTACTCAAGATTTCTCCTTAAAAGGGATCTTCACAAATAACCTTGAAAGGGAGACTAAGTGCGCAATTATCCATGAATTAATAGCTTTGTGGAGATTTGAAACTAAGTGTCTTGTAGTGCTTGTCTGGCATTCTAATCGAACAAAGGTTGGGTTTTAAGAAAGGATATTATGATGTATTAAGCCATGTTATATTTCAGCCAGCCAATCTCACAGAATTGTTGAAAAGTAATTTTTGAGAAAGCCAGTATAGTGTGATGATTGTACTAGGATAAGGAAGAGCCAGATTCAAGGCTCACTTCAGCCCTGGAGCTGACATTTCACCAGGCAGTTTCCATTTACCAATTTCAAAAGATGGCCATTCTGGGTATAAAATTGGAGGAGAAATAAGATATTTTGGAAAATGGAAAGAATAGGATATAATTCTAATAAATACAGAAATAAAATAGGTGGGAATGTTACCCTCATAAACTTTTCAAAAGCCAGTTGAAAGAGCTAGGCCTTGCAGTTCTTACAGTACTCATCTAAAATAAATAATGACAGGCATGCTAGCTAGTGAATGGAAGAATCCTCTCACCTCAGCTTTGCTTCCCCATAAAAATTGAATTCATCTTATATTTGTCTTATTTTTTCTTTTCCTTATTTGTTTTTTTATGTTCAGTCTGCTTGAATTATTGTATTTTATATATTCTTTTATACTATAAAAATCAGAGATATTATTTGTATAATGTTTTGTGATTTTTACTTTAAGTGGTAAACCATCTAGAGTTGTTGGGAGTTGGGAGAATTACAATTCGTTTAAATGAACCAATAACACACACAATAATGCAGATTTTTACAATTTTTAAAAAGTCATCTGTGTCTTTTTCCCTTCCAGAGAACTGCTTGATTCCCACAGAACTTCGGAAAGAAGCCCTGGTCCTCCAGAAAGCATTGGAGTTTGATGACGGAGGGGCAGAAGGTGAGTGGGTCATTGGAGCCAAACCTCTGGGCTACTGTCCCCAATCTAGAACCCTCTAAATGCTTTCTGGGGAATCTGTCTGTCTCTGGGAAGGTTTGTAATTCTGACATTGGTCTGGCAGGAGTGACAAGTCATATAGATGATGAATACCGCTGGGCTGGAGTGGAGGATCCCCGTATTATGGTTACCACTTCCCGTGACCCCAGTTCTCGCCTCAAAATGTTTGCCAAAGTAAGTAAACAGTAAATGTCTTGTCCTGCTCTAGGCGGAAGCATGGCTTTAGAAAGCAGGTTGATGGGGCAGGCTTGACTCAGCAGTTTAGTAGAAATGTTACTTCGCTCATTGGAGGACCTGCAGTCTTTCTGGGACTACTTCATACAAAACATGGCTACCAGAGCCTGCCAGAGGAGATTGAAGAGGTTTACTTTGAGCCAGACATCAAGCTCAGCCCTGGGCAATTAGGAGATCAAAGCAAATGGACTAACAGAGGCTGTGTGCTAGGATCATCTAAGATCTCAGCTCAAGCTTTCCAGATTAAAAAAAATTCAGAGTGATCTAACCCGTGTTATCATTAAGGTACGGTGACTTCGGTTGCTTCTGCTCAGAAATCTGATTGTAAATGGCTGCTTATAATTTCATGTGTTTTTCCCATGTTCTGTTTAGGAAGTGAAGCTAGTTTTCCCTGGGGCACAGCGAATGAACCGAGGCAGGCATGAGGTGGGTGCTTTGGTCCGTGCCTGCAAAGCCAATGGGGTCACCGACCTGCTGGTGGTGCATGAGCATAGAGGGGTGCCAGGTAAGTGATTTGCAAGCAGTACAGACTCACTAGATAGTTGTGGTTTGAATCCGGTAGCTATCACAGCATATCCAGTAGAGATTCGTTGGTCATTTTATTTCATTTGTACTGGACTTGAGGAGGACAGTTTGATGGAATCACACAGAAGGTGCAACTTTGCTAATTTGGAAATGGGCTGAAGTTGCTTGTTTGATGTCAAATCTATCAGCAGTGGCTCTACTCTTCAGAAGCAATTGAAAGCCTTCCAGATACTTTATGTTATCGTTCAACAATCCCTTTGCCAAATTGCCTCAGGTTGACAAGAGCTTAAACCCACTATGCTGCTTACTTGACTCTAGGTAGAAGTTAATATTTAGTGGTAAAGTGTAGGCTGTGCACCCACCTACTCCCAGGTTCAGAGACCAGATTTCCAAGTAGAGTTTGGAAGTCTTCCATCTGAAGCTTCTGATGATGTTGAGCTAGATGGAGTAGCTGGTTATGAGCAAGGCTTAAGCAGAATTGGTGGATAAAGCATCATTCCCACATATCAGGTTGCGCCATAATAACGATTTCTTTTTTCAGTGGGTTCATCTTCTTCCATTGATAGCAACTGGGCCTAACTAGTTTCTCTGCTCCTTGTTCCCACTTCTTCATTACTTAGATGGACTCATAGTTAGCCACCTGCCTTTTGGCCCCACTGCCTACTTCACCCTCTGCAACGTGGTCATGCGTCATGATATCCCAGACATCGGCACCATGTCAGAAGCCAACCCCCACCTCATCTTCCACAATTTCACGTCTCATCTTGGACAGAGGGTAAGTTGAAGTGGTAGATCAGAATGTTGTTTCCTCAGTGTTTGACTATTGTTTAGCCTGAGATTGAACATCAAAATGTTGAAGGTAGCTAGCAGGTCTGCAAAACATCTGAGACATGGCAGGGCAGGAAATCCTGTTTGACTTGGCAGTAAGATCTACTGGCAAAAGTGTGTGCCAAAGTCACTAATTGTGATTGCTGTTTTCTGGGTTTACAAAATGTATCATAAAGCAGCTGAACACACTAGGTCTGTGGCACTAGGTGGCACGCAGAGCCATTTGTGCCGGCACACGAGCCGCAGGCACTGCACATGCATGCGCCTCACAGCTGATTTTCAGCTGGTTTGAGGCCTTTTTGGCTTCCCAGGTTTGAGGAAAGCCTCTGCAGCCTGAAAAATAGGCCTGTTTCATCACTTCCTGTATTTCCGGAAATACAGAAGTAACGAAACAGGCCTATTTTTCAAGCTGAGATGCTTTCCTCAAGCCTGGGAAGCCAAAAAAGGCCTCAAACAGGCTAAAAATCTGCTGGGAGGCACAGTGCAGGTAAGGGGCCGTGGGATTGCACGCACATGTGCAGGGTCGTGGGGGGCATGTGCATTGCCTTCTGGGTTCTGGTATGTGAGCGTGTGTGCGCAAGCACACGCACAATTTTTGACACAGGAGCCTAAAAAGTTTAGCCACCACTGCACTAGGTCTATTCAATAGACTAAGCTACAATTTTTAAAAAATGGTTAAAGCTGCTAGATCTTTTACTGTCCTAGGTTAACATGTTGTGAACTCAGCCCCTGAAAGCAGTGGAATCCACTCTACAGAAGTGAATATAGGATTACCACTTTAGCCTGGATCCGTCAGTGGTATTTTGGGCAAAGTAAAGATGTATCAGAGAAGCGGCATAATCACAGGAGGTTTTCTCACATTTTTATGCACCAGAAATCATGCAAATAATATTTTAGTTGAGTTGCTAAAGATTATTCTAGCTGTGGATTATGGGAGGTCCATGGTCAATCACATTCAAAGGCTTTCATGTGAGTTGAGTCTGATTTATCAGCTTGATCTTGCAATTATGTTCAGTTACGTATGTCTTTAAATCAGATCCCATTAAGGGAAAACTTGACTTCAAGATTACAGGACTATTTGATACTTCATTCACTATTGTTTCCAACTTTCACCACACATCATCCACTTTCTACTCCCAAGGTTCAGGCATTTCCCCCTTTCTCCATAGGTCACTAGCATTCTCAAGTACTTGTTTCCAGTACCTAAAGATGACAGCAAGCGGGTCATCACTTTTGCCAACCAAGATGATTATATCTCCTTCAGGTACATGTTTGGCTTCTGGGTGAGGCTGAGCAGAAATGCTTACCAGAGTGGAGCCAAGAGAACACAAACTTCACTCTTTGTTGGTGCCAGTTGTGAAGTCTTATTCATGGACAAAGCCCTCCGTGGTAGTAACAACCTGCAATTTTGTCCCTTCTGAATAGTTGGATTATAATTGCTATACTTGTTGCAGATTGTGATAAATGTCCCAACACATGTGAAGGGACTCAGGCCGAAGAAAGATGAGGGAGCATTTTTCAAGCTGCTTTGGAAATGAGATGAATGGGCAGTCATGGAGGGCATTTGGGGGCTTATGTGTGGATTTGCTTTAGTTCTGCACTTTATTGATCCTTTCAAAATGCCAAAGGAGGGAAGCCACAGCACTTTTATTTAGCTAGTGCTACATGCTATCAGTTTGAGGTTGTCATTATTTAATAATTGCCACTAGCTTCCAAATACGATAGGTCATGAAAATGGCCTCTTCAGAGTCTTCAGTCATTTAGCAGGCAATTTAATCACTTTATGTGTAGTACTCATCCATCACTGAAGTACCCAATGATGGGCAGGATAAAAGTTTGTAAAGAAAGAAATAAACTTTATCCCTGGCTTCTGTTCCACTTGGGGTATGCTGCAGTTGGGTTCATGCAACGTGTAACACCAAAATATAGCTTTATCTGTTGTTTAATGTAGAATCAATTAAAGTCAACCAACAAGTTGCGTTGTTAGCAGTGCCCTCAAAGAAAATATGAATACAGAAGTTAACAGATAGTGCTGTTAATTGTAGAGGGGATGAATTGTGTGCTTGTATGCATCCTGTAGCTGGCTCTGCCATGGGGAGAATGAAGAGATCACCTCAGATGTGGTGCCACTTGAAAAGGCAGACAACTATCCGTTTGATTTATCTTTGGTCATCAAATATATGGAGAGACATTTGCCAATATGGGGTGTGTGTGGCTTTTGCTGCTTTGCTTAAAATGATGATGTGTTTGCCTTTTGTCCATGTTTTAGCAGCTGGGATTTGGGTTGGACTTGTGTTTAATGGGGGGAGGGGGGAGAACTCAGGAGGAGGGGGGAGCAAAGAGCCTGATTGCTGGGGAAGAGGACTGCTCTTACTCTTACCCAGTGCTTACTCTGTCATTTGCCAATACTATCTGGGGCAGGCACCATGTTTACAAGAAGACTGACCATCGGAATGTGGAGCTCTCTGAGGTTGGGCCAAGGTTTGAAATGAAATGTAAGTACCACCATCAAACTGTGAACTGTGAAATCAGAAACTTTGCCTTTCGCTGACTTGCCAGAGCAGTTTTAACTGAGTTCTCTTAGCATATGCTACTTTATTTATTTATGGAGTTTTTAAAATATATATATATATAAGTAACTCAAGGCAGTGAACGTATCCAATACACTTTCCTCCTCCTATTTTCCCCACAACAACTCTGTGAGATGAGCTGGGCTGAGGAAGAATGATTGCCTAAGGTCACCCAGCTGGCTTTTATGCCTAAGGCGAGACTCATGGTCTCACCTGAGGTCGATTCATGGTCTCCTGCTTTCTAGCTTGGTGCCTTAATCACTAGACCAAACTGGATTTGTGTGTGTGTGAGTGAGTGAGTGAGTGATATATGTATATATGTACAGTATTTCACATGGGTATTGGGAATCCAGTTAAGTGGTTGGAAGAGATAGAAGTCTGAACATGGCAGCTGGTTGGCAAGTGGACTGAATAAATATGTGAAAAACAAATCTGCAATGAACAGAGGGGCAACTTCAACTTTGTAGCAATAGCACTTAGACTTATGTACCACTTCACAGTGCTTTACAGCCCTCTAAGCGGTTTACAGAGTCAGCATATTGCCCTCAGCAATCTGGGTCCCCATTTTGTGGACCTTGGAAGGATGGAAGGCTGAGTCAACCTTTTGATACTGTAGTAGTTGATACTTGATACTGTATGTATCAAAAGCAGTGAAGAAGAAAAAGGAGGAGAAGGATGAGGAGGAAAATTTGGAATAATCTATCTGTTGGAGCAAGTCCTATTGGGAATTCTAGATATTGTTCAGCATCCCTTGGATGGGCAAAGCTAATATATTGATTATGTCACTACATTATCAAATGGAATAGCTTTTTTCAGGTAAAACCTCCAAATCAATATTAGAAATACCAGGCTTTGAGTAAACAAGTGTAGAAAGGAAATCCATCTTTTTCTCCGGCTTTCTTTCACTCCATCTTTTTTTTAAAATATGGCTGACCCCTCAGTGAAGAAACACCCATCTCCAGCCCTACTATTTGCAACAAATGGCAATTAAAGCAATAAGACACAGTGTACTGTATGCAAATTGCAGTATTTTTTACTGGAGTCCTCAGTTATTTTTCCCACAATTAGAGTCAAAGGCTACAATCTGATTTCCCCTGAGGCTGACAACAGTGTTTTTCAAAAGGATCTGTAGTTCTAGCATGAGTCAATCTACTTATTTCCTTCCTATCAAAAAGAGGCAACATTTTGCTTTGTTGTGCTACAGATGACATAATGGAACAGTTTTCTGCTGGTGTTGACTGTAAGGCTGCTTCTTAAAAGGAAGTGGCTTCCTTGTTCAAGAGCAGTGCCCTCTAGTTACGTTTGGTCAAGTCTTGTAATTCATGGGCTATGGCCACATTTGTTGGAAATTATGAGAATTATAGTTTAGCACATTTGACTGAGCACCACATTTGAGAATGCTGTGCAAAAAAAATCTTTTGCTGCTGTGCTTCTTGTCCTTTCATACATAACTCATATTACATGGATTTTCACTATGCACTTTAAAAACTGGACCAGGGTATAGATTTGTCTATGGCTCTTGCCCTTCTGGAGGAAAAAAAATCCCTTCTGTGCATTTGCTTCAGGGAAGAGAAAATAGTTATTCAATATTTATGGGTCACAAGATGTTTCAAATGACTGCTGTGTCTGTGGAACACTAGACTGGATTGGATCACCCTTCTCAGAGTTCAGTATGATTCTCTTCCTGTTCCCATTCTGATCTAAAGACTAATGTGGTTAGGAACATGTATAATAATCAAGAAGTTGCTGATTCAAACCTCAGCTGACACATGAAGAAGAGGCTTCTTGTAAATCAGAATCTTGGCTTTTGTCCGTCAGAATCATTGCACTATGCGGTGGGGGATAACTACCATTCAACAATGGCTTCTGGTGACTGGGTTCACCTATTGCAGTAACTCTAGTGTGGTTTCCTCAACTTTAGAATATGTTATGGCTTACTTCATGATTCATCCTTAAACGCACTGTTGCTTAATGTAATCTGTGAGGCTCAAATGCTGGGAATGATTATTGTGGTTTCAGGGTTTGCTTCAGAAGTATCTGGCTGGCTGTTCAGAGGTTGTTCTAGAACAAGATTGGATGTGTCCCAGCTAGGTCACTTAACTGTGATTTAGAGAATGGTAGCTTGAGTTCACATGTATTGCAATTGCCTAACCTCTGGTTGTGTTACACTGGCTAGGGTCTCAACATACTAAGCCAATATTTAACAAACCCCATTAACGTTTAACTGCAGCTGTGAACTCCACCACAGCATAAAATGCTGTGAGTTTTAAGGATTCTTTCCATTGTTTGGGTAGGATTTATCTTTCCTTGTCCTCTGTCCTAAAGAATCATTTTCTGTGGACATTCAGAGACTGCAGGTGAACTAGACTGAAAACAGAATTGTGGAGTTTATTCCCTGAAGCAGAGCATGACAGCCAGCTCAAACTTTTCTTCTCTTATATTGCAGTATATATGATCAAACTAGGAACCCTGGAGCAAGAGAACACCGCTGACGTGGAGTGGCGCTGGCACCCCTACACCCACACAGCCAAGAAGAGAAAATTCCTCAGTGTTGAGTAGCAGTGCCTCAAAACTGCCACTTTCTCATCAAAGAAGCAGACTGTATATTGGACCTTAAATGAACTGGATTCTTCAAGCTTGCTCCCATAAATACATTCTTTTTTCTTTCTGCCTGTTCTAGGAGTGATCATCTTTTTGGTTCATGTCATGTTCTCACCCATTCCAGGAGTTCCCCATTCTGACATGGAACTCATGAAGTTTGTCCAGCACAAAGGGGGATTTTGCATTTCCTTGTTCTGACTGGTTGGCCTTCCTGGCTAACATGTATAAAGCAGAAGCGTACTGGGTAACATTGGAGCTGGCTGTCCAGTTCTAAAGATGTCTATGGGGAATTGATTTTGAAAGCTACATTAGCAGCAAAGAAGACAGTCAAATAGCAGTTGTTAAAGACTCAAAATGATGGAGGACACATTCATTGTAATTTACCATAGCACTGCGTGACTCTAGTGCTTTCTCAGCCCTCCCAATTGATTTTTATTATTTCATGCTTGCAATTTTTCTACAACTTCCTCTTTTGATGTCTATGGTAGTAATGCTACATAAACATATAAATAGGACTAATAAAGAGATAACAAAATGGGCAGGAAACGTTCCTCACCTGCTCTGTTATTTTTGCTTTGCTAGATGTGTCTGTTTGAGCCCACTCCAAATGTCTAGGTTGTAATTCACTAAGCTGTAGTTAACTAACTAATCCACGCTGTCTAGGTTTACAACAGACGTAGCTAAAATGCAGCACGATCACTTAACATTATCAGGTTGTCCGAGTTACATTGGAAGTTATGTTGAAGAGGAACATGTGGGAGAATGAATTAGAGATTCCTTTCCAAATAGTCTAGTTATCTATCCATATAGGTCATGCAAAATACGTTTCTTCTGAAGATTGAATTAACCAAACCCATTCTGATGCAATTATTTGGAAGTGCATAATTGTACGAAAGGTACCCTTTCTTCAGCATTGAACTTTCATAACTTTCGTACAAGCATTTTCTCTTAGCTCTGGTTTCTTTTTTCTATGCTTTTCATTAGAAAGTGGGACCATCGGCGATAAAGGAGAATAATTATAATAAGCTATTACAACAAACAAAAAAAGACTTAGAATTATGAACGAAAATGCAACTATCATTACTAGGAAGAATAGCAGCCATAAAAATGTCTATATTACCAACATTTCTTTATCTATTCCAAACCATTGCAGTTAAATTAGAAAAGACCTTTTTTGATAATCTTAATAAAATGACAGCAAAATTTATTTGGCAGGGTAAAAAACCCCAGAATAAAAATGAAACTACTACAAGATATGAAGAGCACAGGAGGCTTTGGATTGCCAAATTGGGAATTATATTATAGTGCAGCAACATTAGTTTGGCTAAAAGATTGGATTAATTTAAAGAATAAAAGAATATTAGCTATAGAAGGTCATGATCTTCAGAGAGGATGGCGTGCCTTTCTTTGGGACACAGGACTCACCAACCAAAATATTTCCACAGACATCTGATTAGAGATTCACTGATATACAACTGGATCAAAGTTAAAAAGAAACACTATAAAAATCCCAATCTGGCTATCTACAATGGAAGCGACGATCCACCCAAATAATTTAGACCTGAACAAAATGTTAAAGTATAAAGACTTACTGGATACACACGGAAACTTAAAAACAATACAGGAGCTGCAAGAACAAGAGCTACGAGTAGACTGGTGGGCTTATCTTCAAATACAAATACAAAGAAAGTGAGACCATCCAAGTGTTGGCCCCGGGTTAGGCTCATATCCTATATAAATCAAAATCTTCAAACAACATGAATGCTCAAACACAATAAGTAGTATCTGATAAGGATTACCCTTACTTCAGTGGCTGCAACTTGAGAATATATTAACATCCATATATTTTGTTTATTTGGCTAACTCTTCTGAATTTCCCTTGCATGATTATACCCAGTATTGGGTCTAAACGATTATTGCTGAAAATCTCCAAGCCAGCCACACTCTTGGCTCCCACCAAAAAAGACCTGGTAAAGAAAAGTTCGTGTCAAAATAAGTTCTAACGAGGATTTGGTCTTAGGATGTCCTGAGCTTTAGGTGCTGATAGTAGTTGTCCTCTTTGTGATCAGAAAAACATGCTGTTTTTGCGTAGTTGCTCCTTATGAAGGAGGTCAGCATCTAGTATTCAGTGCTTCTGTTTGGCAGAAGCAGCAGCCTTCTTTCCTCCCTGCTGTTAAAATTGAGTGTCCTTTTTCAGAAGTGCAGCCTATACTCTGCTCCACTCAGCAGGAGGATCTCTTGGTCCTTTTGGCTTACCGATCCGGATGTTAAATCCTATGGGAGAATAGGAAAGGCGTTAGACACCATACTGAGAGCTTTGGTTGTTTTTTTTCCGAGGATTTTGCCCACCTGACCTTTTCCTTACATAGCTCAGTACACAGTGCATTTTATTTTAATTGTCATTTTATCAGTATGTTGCGGAAAATACAAGACATAAGTCCTGTGCAGTACACGGAGGGACATTCGTATAGCACTTGTCAGCGTCTCATTAAAGCAGCTGTCTCTTTCCTAGAATTGTAAGGCAGCAATGCAGGGAAAGATGCAACTTTTTTAAAGGGTTACTGAAAGTGCTATGTGAGCGTGTGCACCAAAACATCTTTCCCTCTTTTAAGGACTGAACAGCCCAAGTAGATACTGACAGAAATCTTTGCCCTCTTTCAAATTTTCTGAATAGTTGCATCTCTTTGTTACTGAATGTGAGAGCTTCACGTTAGTACTATTGACATATAGGGGGACTCTGAGTGAACAAGTAACACTATTTAAAGTTTTATTTCTCCACAAATAAAGTCATTCAACATGCAATGTGCCAACTGAAAAACTGACAAATACAGTAACTAGCACCACTTTACCTAAAGTGACAGCAGCAAAATGCTTCCTTTAACTGGTAACTGTTCTCTGACATCACTGTACTGGAATTTTGGGGCATTCTTCTACGGCGAACTATTTCAGCTAAATAATGGGTTTTTAGCATAAACTACTTGATTCAGGCCATGCCACATTTCCATGGGGATTTTAAATCCTGTAGAATTCTTTGATATAGTGAAGAAATGATGAAAGTGTTAAGATCCTGAGAAAAAAAGATATTCCCAAACTGATACTACCAGCTCCTTGCTGGACAATTTGTATATTTTTATTGTGCATTGGGGTGTTTTGTTTCTATCAGATGTAATGAGGACCATACAGCCTGAAAAGTTGTACTGTTGGCTCATCTTGCCTAGAATATTCCTCCAAACAATATTTTCTTCTTTAGCATTAAAAACATAAATGATATAAATAGTTCACTGTTGATGCAGAAAATTGTTGTTTAATTGAGTCAAGATTTAGTTACAATTAAAGGTTATGTGTATTCAATTTCAAATACTGAAAAATGCTCCCCATCCTAAAGTGTCATCCTAAAGTGTCACAATGACTTAAAGATCTCCTTACTCACCCATGACAGAAGACCCTGCAGTATTTGGGCAAGTCCTGAGTGAGGTGTCGGCCACATCTTCATACGTTTGCACGGGGACAGTCCGAGACAATGATGATACTGTTCAGGGACAAAAGTGATTTTCTGACACTTGCCAATTGAGTGCAAGAAACAAGCAAACATTCTGCTAGAGCCAGAAAGCTAAGAGAGCCTCACTTCTGAACCTGATTCAAGTGTCATAAAAGGGGTGTTTAAAAAAAGGGAAAACAGTTTCCATTTAAAGTCTTTTGGTATGGTGATACCTTGGCTAAATGTAAAATAGTTAAAAATTAAGCAGTGCAACTGGCTATGGGTTATATTAGCTGCATCACATTTGTACTCCAAATGTTTCAAAACAAAACATTTTGCACACTCCTAACTATTTTAAGGTCATCCTGAGGACTGTCATTGGGAGATTTAAAGCTGTCCAGTTTTGAAGTGACACACAAATGTGATAATACAGGTAGTCTTCAACTTACAACAGTTCATTTAGTTGACTTTTCAAAGTTACAACAGCACTGAAAAAAGTAACTTTTCACACTTAGGGCTGTTGCAGCATCCCCATGGTCATGTGATTTGCATTCAGATGCTTAACAACTGGCTCACATTTATGACGGTTGCGGTACCCTGCAGTCACATGATTGCCTTTTGCAATTTTCTGACAAGCAAAGTCAATGGAGAAGCCAGATTCACTTAACAACCTTGTTGCTAATTAAACAACTGCAATGATTCCCTTAACAAGTGTGGTAAGAAAAGTCATAAAATCAGGCAAAACTCATTTAACAAATTTCTCACTTAACAACATACATTTTGGGCTCAATTGTGATCGTAAGTTGAGGACTACCTGTACAAGGACAGCCTAGTTCTACTGAACTATCCTGAAGAGTAAGAACTCTGATGCCTCAGTAGAGATCATTCTTGTAAATGGGTACTATATATCAAAAGGGGGTAACATGGCTTTGACATGTTGATTTACTACTTGCAATACGGCAAAGGAATGCAAGAGTTGGCTCAGCAATACCTAAAAGATCACAGCTTTGAATCTTCCCCATCTTTGAATCACAGCAAAGGCCATCTCTGTTACTGAAGTGAGTTACCAGCAAAGGAGAATAGTTGTAGCTCTGGATTGAAAGGACTTTCATTACCCCAACTAGGTAACATCATCAATGCACGAGTGGATAATGAAACATGTACAAAGACACACAACCAAGCCCAGAGAACACCAAGGATGACTGAAGTGAGTTAGCTGGAAAAGATATAGATACATGACTATAGAGAGCCTGTTTGGTGTGGCAGTTAAGGGATCAGGAGAGAATCTAGAAGAGTGTGAGTTCTAGTCCTGCCTTAGGCAAAAGCCAGCTGGGTGACTTTGGGCTAGTCACTCTCTCTTAGACCAACCCACCTCACAGAGTTGTTGTGAGGAAAACAGGAGGAAGAAGTAGTATTAGGTATTTCCACAGCTTTGAGTTATTTATCAAGTAATAAAGGGCAGCATAAAATTCTAATAAATATAAGGTAATTATCTTTTAACATAAAGTTAGGCAGAATGAAGCTTTATATTCAATAGACTGTGAGCTTCTCTTATATAAATTTGATAAATCAATATACTTTTTTGAGCTTGACTCAA